GTGTGGGCTTAGTTGTGCTTACAGGTGTGCGCACATAGATATTTCCATTATGCCACTACGTAAAACAAATTTTTGCTCTGAGGTAAGCGTGCCATTTGCTAAGCGTACTTGCTTACAGTATCGATGAGATACATAGAGCCTCTGTTGGTGTAAAATTGTGTGCTCAGCAGTGCAGTGGAATTGGGTCCTGGTGTCACAGCTTTGTTGGAAGGTGCAGAACTGAAAAACCCAGGCTCACAAACTTGTTTGATTGCTTGTGTTTTTACTGGAGCACCAAAATCAAATAAGATGTAATGATGAAAGTATCACCAAGCTAAGAGTGTCCTCTTAAAACCACCGCAGTTACAAACCCCGCCAGTTGATGTTTTGTATGAAATGGGCAGCGTTTGCTTGCTTTTTTTGGGGGGGGTAAAAGGATTGAATCAGTCACCCATGAAATGTAAATGTTGTGTGCTGTTTTTTTATTCATTAGTCTGTGACCACTCTTGGTCAGGAGGACAGATCTGATGGCGAAGGCGAGTCGTACAGTGAGAGTTTCTAATGTGAGCATTCCGAGCGAGAGCAAACCACTCGCCGAAGGACTCTTGACAGAAAGTACACACAAGTTGGTAAGAATAGACACAGCATCAAAACTGTCAATTGGGTCGAAGAATACTCTGCCAATTTAATGACGTCATCTCATCTCGAGATTTTCCCGAAACGTATTGATTCCAGCTTGCATTTTTTGTCAAGTATGTGGCGACTCCTGTTGATTTTGTACTCAAAGCGTACCTCCATTCACTGATACTGGTTGGGCAAACAGTTTACAGTAATAGGCATTCCTGAGCAAATGTCATTAACAGTTGATTGAGAAGAGGGAGACTTCCAACACCGAGATGCCCAACTTGTTCGTATTGTATGTGGGCTCTATTTCAGTGAAGGTCAAATGCTCGTGTACACTGCTTGTTGTCTGGGCCCAACAAATTTGTCTGTCGATTGTTAGGTTGCAAGAAGTTAATTTGATGCACATACTCGTGGTCTGAAGATACTAAGGCACTTCACTTTTTAAAAGTCACTGATGCATTGTACATATACAATATATATTTTACATTTAAATGCATTAACCCTTTCACACTGGGATTCTTTTGGCCGTGGCTGCTGGGCTGTGGTATGCCCAGTAGGCAAAGCTTTGTCCAGCAGCAGGCCCACATTGAACCAGCAGCTGCATGGTGAATAGAATATGTGTGTCGTATTCACTAATCCTCACACAAAGCCACGGCTGTGGATGGCTCCCGGTATGAAGGGGTTTTAATAGACCAGTTGTGCCCACATGACCTACAGCGGGTATTAGACATCAACAAGCATGGTGTCCTACCATAGCAAAGTGTGTTTTGGGTGTTATCTACTAAAAAGAAAGCTGATTATGGGTAGTAGTCTGAGTACTTTGCCAACCATCGGCTTTATTTTTGGGTAAATGACAGTTAGGACATACTAATCTATGGCAGGATGTCATGTTTGGTGACGTTTGCTACCCACTACAGGGGTGTATGAGAAAAACCTCCCACAAAATAATGTGCACCCAGTTTCACATTTCGTGGTTCACATTTCGTGCTTCAATGAGCACACAAAGTTTAAATTTTGGAAATCAAAAGTTTGTTGGGCACGGGTATTTGAGGCTTTAAAATTCATCGAGAAATGTACCGGTATGCTATGTTTGTCCCTTTCTGCTTGGTGACGATACACCCAGATATGAGATTTTGGTGTCGATTGTAGAGGGTTAATGGGTTAATTTTTTCAAATTTGGTGTGCAAGGAAAACTCGTTTTTAATCTGTTTATTCAATCCAGCAGGTGTCTTTTTAACCCTCATACACCCATGCACAACAAAATTTGATTTGCCAAAATTCAAACTTCCTGCTCATTGAAATGTGAACCATGAAACTGGTATCAATCAAAGGCAGAGCTACACCCTTCACCAATGGGCACATCCAGATTTTTGAAACTGGGTCCTGTGTTATTTCCACAGTATGGTAACTTTTTCGGAGAGTCTTCTTTTTTCCGATACACCCTGTATGGGTCAAGTGACTTACCGATCCCGGGAACGATCAGTCTTTTCATGGTCATTATTCTGTCTTGAGCATTTTTCTATGAGTTGATAAGTGGCGTTACCAGTGCCTTAGTACATCTGAAATAATTCTAACCTGACAAGTAGACGGACTACAAACGACGTTATTAATTACTGAAGCTATTCATCTTATTCACCACTTTTTTTTTTTCACAGTTCACTTCCTAAGGAAAATGCTACTCAGAAAAACTGTGTCATTGTTATATATCCCAACCTGATGAGTTCAGTTACTTTTCAAAAATAGTTTCAAATTATTAGCATTTGTATAAGTTTTTTGTCGTCTACTAATCTACATATAAGGCAATTTTAATGAGATCGTCTTGGCACATTATAACTTTCAAAACTGTAGATAAAATTTGCATTTTTCATGTGATAAAAGCTTCTCTTCTACGTAATTTTACAACGCATTAACCATTTTGTATGGTGCATATACTATTTTGGCATTCCTCTATTCACGCAGCTGTAAATCAAACATTTCTGTAACAAATCTACTCAAGAAAATAAGTCTCTAATGGCATTTTTCTTCCTGTTTTCTAAACAATAGCTTTAGAATCATTAACATAAAGAAATGTACATGCGTACTTCTAGTTTATTAGCAACTTTACATGACATACAGCACTGTGAAACACAGAAGTAAAGTTAATCTGTAGTGTCAAACATTGTGCCATTTTTCCTTTAGGTATCATGCAAAATCCCCACAGAATTGATTTGAACAATGAATTCTTTCATATATAATGGTACAGTTATAATGGTAAGTCTTCCATCAAACAACAATCTCTTTGACATTACAAATTGAGGAGGGATAAAAGTCAAATTTGACAAAAAGTCAAAAAGTTCGCTATACCTACCCTATTGATATCAATTTGTCGTCTGTTACTTAGATGTACAAGTTTTAAGAGCAGTCATCTGGTCCACCGCTAGCCGCGCAGGTTGGCTGGCAACATTCATTCCAATCCAGGACCTTCTCCGCACCCTTGTAGATTCCATTCATAGTCGCTACAAGACAGGTGAATGAATAAGAAAATATTAAAATGTAGCCATGTTTTACAAGAGTCACGAGAAATGTAAATGAAAGTTATTTTGCAAACCGTTCTTTTATTATTCAAAATGGACTTGGCACATTTTAGGATTCCAAATTTACATGCCTGAGAAATCACTGCAGTATTTGTAAGTGTTGCGTTTTTTGTGGGATACCCTGCACATACCTTTCCACTCGCTGATTGCATATTTAGAGGTAGCATAATTGTCAGACTCGGAATAACTAAACCCCGTCTCAGACGCGAAAGGCACGGCTATGCTGGTCACGAAGTCATCGCTTGCTGCCGCTGTGTCATAGGTGCTTCTTTCAATCAGGTACCAGTTGCTGTAGGGCTTGTTGCTGGCTGCATAGGAGTCAGGGGAATTGCCCAGGATGCCGTACAGCCTCCCAGTGCTGGGCAAAAAGCCAATGATGTTGCGCAGTCGGGGATCTAGACCTGAGCAAAAGTAAAGAGCGTACTGGTAACCTCACTACCAGAGGTCACTTTAACTGTCCGCTGTCTTCAATAACGTTTTCATGGTCCGCTCGACTACAGTTATTGTACCACAGTCTGAAAATACACCTACATTATTTATTATACATGTTTGGTGCTACTTTTAAAGGCATTTTGGAACTTTTTTGGCAAATACTGATTTCCATATTTGTTAGCAAAAGTGTGATATCATTCCAAGGGAAAAACCTTTATGTTGCATTGATATGTGCACCAAAAATTGCTGGGTTTTACATTTTCTGTTCCAAGTTTCCTTTTATTTTGTGATTTCTTGTTGTCTGAATACCCAACAGTAAGCCAACAGGAAGCCATTTTTCAAAAATGCTTTCAAGGAGTAAATTCTGGGTTCATATTCTGAACTGAAGAACCTGTATAAAAACTGAGCTGAGCCTTCCGTGATTGACATCACAGCAACACCGCCCCTGTTGTCTGGGAAAGTGGGCACAATTATAAATGTTTGTAATAATTGCACCCCCAGAAGGATGGCAGATTGTTTTCATACAATAAAAAAGTACAAAGTTGCACAAAAAGTGTGTCCAAGAAAACTTCCTCTTGGACCCTTTGATGTTTTTGTCAGTCTCCCCAAGAAGAGTAATTTTAAATCAAAACGTTCCTGTCTACTCAAAGAAACATCAACACAGATTTGACGTAGATAAGAGGTCTTCTAAACACTCACTGGATTGTTCTGGTTTGACCCATACCATTTTCATATAACGTGCTTAAAAACTCACCAGTCCACTGCTTTTCAGCATATATCATCATGAAGCACTGCATATCAGGTTTCCTGTCAAGAATTTCATTTTTAAAAAAGAGTTCTCTGAAATTATATAATAAAAAAGAGCATCTTGATTATAAAAAGTGTTGAAGTCCATCACAAGTCTTTGTATGGGTCAGTTCACAAGTCCTCACACAAGAACAGTCATTCGTTCCTGGGTCAAGAGTGACACACGAATGCTTCCCATTTGAATAACTTTTGACTTGGCTTAAAGACTGGATGTCTTGGGATGGACTTCCCTTGAAGACCGCTTGAATAAAAACATGCTTGGGTGTTGCTAGAATAGGATCTGTTTTTCCGATAATGAATAGGCAAAACCGAATGTAGGTGGGCTGCACACAAGTCTTGGAAGCGCTGAAGAGAGCGGAATGTGTGTTGACAGGTGGATAGTACATGCAGGTCTTGGGTCGGCATAATTTCAGCAATTTGCACAAGAACTCACAAGCACCGAGATCACCATGCCATGTCAGAACTAACATTGAACACCACAGCCCAACAAGAAAGCCAGTACTGACTACCATAGACCATACTCCAGACGTAGTAAGGTCAAACAGGCTACAAAACAGTTGTCTTGATAATTATAATAATATTTATAAAGCGCATTCTTCCGAAGGTTACAATGCGCTGGGAAAAAAGCAACTGCAGGAAAGTAAACCAGGTGCTAAGACAAAATTAGTGGGAGCAGATGACCAAAACCTAGAGTGGAAACAGATGAGATTTAAGTTTACATTTGGACTGTTGTAGGGAGTTGCAGTTACGAATACTACGAGGTAACGAGTTCCAGCATCGGGGTCCAGCAACAGAAAAAGCCCTGTCTCCTACTTTTTTTAATGTACGTGGTATTTTTAGGTTGTATTTTGAGCGGAGGTTATTACTTCGGTTAGGTTTGCTACGATGAGGATGGATGCAAGACAAACTCTGCCTTTGCAGTATATAGGGCCTACTTACTTCCACAGGAAGGCGTAGACAGATGCCTGGATCTCCTTACGCACTCCACTCTTGCCGTGGGTGACAGTGTCACAGACAAACAGGGTGTCACTGTTGGTGTCAACCAGGAACCCTCGCTCGTACATGTCGCCAACCTGATTGGTAGCGGGTGTTGGGCAGGTGTCTGCTCAAGAGAACCAGCCAATTTTACACTTGATAGTTAAACACTTGACAAATGTACACTAATAATCCAATTTGACCTCTGAATTCAAGATTATTGAGTTCAGATTCATCTTAAAATTTTGATTTAGAAAATTCCTCTCGATACTTGGCTAAAGAAGCCACACATTCTAAACACATCCACTTGGAATAGGTCATTTTTTAGGACTTAAAACATGTAGTTCAGCAAGGATGGGATTTCACACTTTGACTGACAGCTCCAACTCTCTGTAGTGATAGGGTGTAAGTGAATTTGCCACAATGAATATTCTTGTTGTAAATGAATAGATGTTGAATTGTGATCAGAATGCAATGGCAGTGCTGTTAGCCCGAAACTAAACCTTCTTTGTTATCGTTATGCTCATTTTCTCTGATTGTTTTACTGTTAAAATTGCATCGGAAATAGGCAAAGGCAAAAATGTGATTTCGCTAACAGGTGTGCTTCATTTCATGTATAATCGAGGACAAAACCAATTAAGTGCATTCTCATTGTGGAAAATGTGCACCACTGCCAAATTATGACCTATCCCTTGGTCATCCCATTTGAGATTACCCATACCCAGCGTAACCAAACAGTCAGCTCCATACCACCGCTAAAGTACGAGTTACCGCGATCAAAGCCATGTCTCCACAAGGATACAAATTCTGGTATGTGTGTGGCAAAAAGTGTGAGATGGTATGTAGCCTGTGTAATGGAATGTTAATCCCTGTGCCAACTGCCAACTGTGTTTTTTTCATCTTGGAACTCTCAGAAATGAACATATGGCGACCTCAACAGAGTACCCTGTTCATTTGTCATCAGCACTCGGTGTGTTTAGATCAGCTATGAGTTACCAAGTTTCTTACCAGCTGCCGCCTGGCCACTCACGCAACCCATCAGCTCAAGCCTGAGGGCATTGTACCACTGACTCTGGCTCCTGTAGTCGTAGGCAGTCAAGTTCAGGATGACATAGCGAGCCTCCACGGGCACCATTAGGGTGTGAGTCACCACCGTGTCATGGTTGGCAGGGGAATCCCTCTGGTGGTCAAACTTTAACGGGATATCATATGAATGGTCAAACCATCAAATATTAGCTCTGAACATCATATAAGAAAAGGAATAGGCAGAACTGTGATTCAGCAGAGGGTGACGAATTCTCCAGAGGCGAATTTTCAGTGCCAAATATTGGACTTTTCAAAAGGGAGACGGCTATGATGTTGAAGTCCAGATTTTTCAGGGCGGGCTGCTGCTTTGTCGAAGGCAGCACAAAGAGAGACCAAAGACCTCCTTAAAGAAGCACTCTCGTTGCACTGTAATGAACTCATAGGCACTGACCTCATGCAAGGCCAATTAACACAACCAGGCACCTCCACTGTTTGTTAATCAGGGGCATGATAAGGCAATTACCACCTTGTGGAACTTCGGAAGCATCAGGGTTGCCACTTAAACAGCACTGGAGTTACTGGATGGTGCTATTTGAACGATGTTAAAAAGCACCTTCAATTGAGCCCACAATAAAGCCTCTTTGATGAGCAGGGAATAGCCAACTGTAATATTGTTTGGCGTTCTATTGCAGAGCTGTTTTCCCCATGGATACATGACATTAAGCAGATTAAGCAGAGTGGTTCTAACCATTCCGCAAACCCCTCACTGTCACTTTGAAATGAATAGACAGTTGATCTGAAATGAAAGATTTAGATTTCTTTTGTTATCTTACCAGAAACTATTGTCTTGTCTACATGTGGCCCAAACTCTGTTATTTCTCCAGACCCAAATGCAATCCCCAGGCTTCAGTGGTGTAATAAAATGGTGCGGCCGGGGAGCCACGCAACCCCAATCCCCCATCAGAAGTCTGAATTCCCCCCCAACAAAAAAAAGGCAATGTAAACTGCCTATACATGTATCACAAGCGTTTGAATAAATATGTGATTAGTGGTGACGTCCAAATATCCATCACCGTCCGTGAGTCGTTCGTGTCGCGTCGTTGGTTAGAACCATTTTTTTTTTATACATTGGGCCGGCCATATATATTTGCTTGACGTTCCTAGGGGGCGAGTTGGTCAGGGGGCGTGTCGGCCAGGAGGCGAGTCGGTATAAGGGGCGAGTCGGTCAGGGGGCGAGTTGACCTGACACCTTACAAGCCATGGTTAATATGCTTTCAATTTTCCCTTGAAAAAAAACCTCCAGGGCCCCTCTCAGAAAACTTTTCCTGGTTACACCCTCTGCCAAAATGTGGCTACTCCTAAAGCATTCACACCGCTTTGTTGTCTGAGGGGGTTGCTGCCTTGTACAGCGTATCATCCAGGCTGTAGAGGATCTCAAATTCCCCAATATCACCGTTGGCAGCGGCACTGCTTCCCCCTTGGGTTTGAACACCTGTCAGGTATGCCTTCTTGCCCAGGTCAATCTTGATCCAGCGATCGTACAGGAAGGGGCCTGCCCTGGCCAGCGTCTTCCAAGCTGGTTTGTACCATGAAAAGAACACCAAAAACAATTCATTAAAAACAGTCGTACCAAGTTTTGACACTGCTCACGTAACCGATCACGCACTCTCACACTGTAGTTGTGGGGACATACCGTGACCCGATATTTCACCTACTTTTGTGGGGACCGAAAACGTTGTGGGGACTCAGAAATGTCCCCACAACTCGGTTAAAATTCCATAACAAAAGAACTTGTCCCCTGAATGCGGTGAATGCCTACCCACAGACACTGATGGATGCTGGTTTTTGGAAGGTAAAGTTCATTTTAGGGTTTTCCATACAAACATAAACACATCCGATGTCCTTCATTTAAAGAAAATTCTCATCGCATTGGGTCATAATGCACAACTATCAAGAATTTTGTCACAGCTCATTTGAATAGCTTGTGAACTGGCTTACTTACAGAATGACTTGTGACGGACTTACATGGACTAGTGATGGACTCAAATACAACACTAGCTGCCCACCTCACACAGCCGTTTCAAGCCCTAACCCCACCCAGCCTAGCCGAACCAGACCAACACCAAGCCATTGAACCCATCCATAACCAGCCACTTCCTCCCAACCGATCTCAACCAACCAACCAACCAACCAACCAACCATGAAATCTGAACCATAACCCCTACCCACCTTGCAACCTAGGCAACCCTAACCCAACCAAACCTACCAGAAGCCCCATTTAGCCTCGCATGTTGTGCTGCGGCGTTTGGCTCTGGTGAGAATGATGCAGTGATCTGGCAGTCTTGTATGGTACCATCCTGCATTCCTAGGGCTTGGGGATTGCCACAGGAAGGTGATAAGGTTTGGCCTATTGGGGAAAAATCAGTAAACCATATAAACAACTGGAAGAGTTCTGACCAGCTCTGACACCTAAATCCTGTGAGGAAATCCCAATGTTACAACCAATGAATAGGACGTAGATCTCCCAAAATTTGTATCTGGAGAAAAAATTATACAAACAGATCAGTCCCCCCCCTTAAAAAGGAGGATGGGAAACATGAAAGACTGCATTAGCTGGACTTGCATGGAAGGTGCATTTAAAACAGTGGGCCTATTTATGTAGAAAAAGAAGCTCAAGTATGTAATTGCTTGTGTTCCTCTGTAAGTTTCAACCTCGTACGGAAAACTCCGCTATCATCAGCCCAACCCTATCTGGGCCAGTCTTTGGTGAATGCAAGTCCAGCGAAACCCATTATTCCACATTGCAATTCCTTCAAGGCATCCATCGATTCTCTAATTTGGAAATTCAATTTTTGCTGCTTTCAATAGATCAGATTGACGTTTTACCTGGGATATCAGGGTAGGGCACCGTGAAGTCAAAAGTTGTATACCCCATTGGCTCGCTGAAGTATTGACCGTCGGTGTAGAAGTTGGTATCGTAGTTTGTCATGAAATATATGACCTGTTGAAGGCATAAGTGTCGTGCCATTTAAAGCAAACTACACTACTTTCTGAAAGTTAAACAAAATTATTACCCAAAAGATGTTCCTGCAAGTTGCAAGATGAAGATGCGGAAGAGTTTACAAGAAATAAAAAATGCTTGCTCGGATTTCCTCCTACTACATATAGGAAGTTAAATTAATGACTCGTCGAATGATACATACAATGTAGAATAGTCGGTTATTGGCTTTATGTGTTATACGTACGTATGGCTCGAGCAATTCATACAAAAACACTCAAAACGAACAATAATTTCTCGGACACTTTAGGCATAACTTGTCAAGTATTTCTTGAAACGATAATACACTGATTTGTTTTTTAATCAGAATAAAATGAATACTGGTGTACAGCCGAAGATATACCCCGACTTTGCCCTTAGGACTCGCCCACTGTAAACCATGCCCAGTCTTCAACTTGGTGAGGATTCAAAGCTGGGCTGCAGGAGTTAGCCGGGCTGGAGGAACGTATGTCACTAAACCAATCAGAACATTGTGTACCTCAATTGGTGTGGTTCCTTTCCAGTTTTTGGTCAGCTTGTAGCGGTAATTAGTCTTAATGCTGGTCTCAAGGGTCAATGCAAGACGGTCGCTGAAGAACATCCGCGGTACCTGGTCATGGACAGCATAGTTAACACGAGACAAGAAGTGTTGGAATCAAAATCTGTGACATCTAATCCGTCAGATTTTTCTGCAAAAACTAACGTTATACTTTACATACTTTCATTTGAATAAAGCTCCACTCTAACTCAATAAGTATGCAAAACACGCAGAAACGAATACACCGGTGATTCTCTCTCCTTCGAATGGTCATTTGGATGATTAAAATTCAAAGTAAATATCAGATAATTCTTTTATGGACCACCAAAAAAATGAAAGACATTTGAGTTCCCTAAAAACTAGCCTGTCCTTAATACCGTGAAGTAGAATCCGGTGTTATCATTCCAGTGGCTGACGCCTTGCAGCTTGTCGCTTAGTTCGAGGTTCAGCGCCATGCTGTCAAACTGGATGTAGGGCGGCAAGAAGACGTGACCTTTGACATTGACTGCTTCGGCGTTGGAGTCAATTGCATGGCTCACCTCCATCTTGTACCAGACCTTGTCCCTTTGTTTTGAAGGATAAAAAACTCGACCTTCTTCAAACCTGTATTGCGTTTACCCTCAGAATAACGAATACAGTTCTTTTCATCACGGTTGTAGAGAGTAGTTATTTTTTGTTGGGTCAGAAAAAATTGTTTTGTGGACCTACCTGTTTCCCTAGTTGTCTGAATTCAACTCAAAAAGGTAATGTGGGACAACTTTTTTTTAAAAAAGGGATATCTTTTTCAGGTAACACTTCAACACGAGCAATTTACGACTGAAAATTGAGGGTAGGTTGCAATGATTCCCCTGTATTTTAAGAACTGGATTTTCTTAAGATTTTTTAACAATATTTGCAAGCACAAAATTTGGAGGTTTAATTGGCCAGAGCGTTGGCTCATATAATGAGCCAATGTGATGTACATTGCAACCGATTTCATCCGCGTTTTCTCTTTTTGAGGTATTTATTTGCTATGCTTTGCATTAAATGCAGGTCATATGGAAATGAAACAACGAGGCTGAAAGAATTATGACCAACCCAAGAGAGTATGTTTGCGCTGTTCCGTTGTGGTTGAACGAGACGTTCAGGGCGGGTTTTTCTGTGCCGTCTCGCAGTACGGCCAACTTGTAGTATGCCACCCACACCACTGCGCCACTGCTCACGCTAACCCCGCTACCCAGGGCGTGGTAGGAAGCGTTAACGTTTTGTTCCCCGTCGGCCATCTGCACGTCGATGTATACGACAATGTCATTGTCGCCGTCCTCCAGGTTGCCAGCTTCGGCCGTGTGTGCTCCTGTAATAGGTCAAGAGCAAAACTAAAATCAATTAAAACTCGTTTTGTGGGTATCTGCAGCTTTTTTTTTACAGAAATAGGGGAGAGAAGAGTATGTTTAAAGGGAAATTCGGATAACATCGTCATCATCAAGATCATCGGTTTCCTCAAGACACCAGTCAGAGCTGTTAAATCTAGTCTGTATCAGGTCTAAAACCCATAGTCAGTGTTTAGCATGCGGAATCCAATATCTGTCCTTATTTCACTTATCAGGGGAAGGTTTCTTTCCTAATACAGAGACTTGAAGCTAGGGTGGATCATTCTCAATGCTGGATAGAGGAAGGGGGGTGTATACCTGATGTTAAGTATAATTCCTCTCCTCTCGGAAGGGGGTTAATTCTGTTTTGTTCATCAGGGATAACTCAGGCTAATCGATTATGACAGATTTCAACAACGTTGAACACTGCAAGAGTTCTCAACCCCTTTTCCTAATTGGAGCAAGCTCTTTCTGGATTAACCGTTACCGTGGAATGTCAACACCACACTATGAACCTATAGGGCTGCCACTTTCCAAGCCTCAGAGAGCTCAGTCAGGGAAGGCAAGTCACCTGTGTTAGTGATTCTACCAAAGTCCAGCTTTGCAACGTTGTTTTGTGAGGTGTTCCCAGTCGACGTCAGCACGACGTCGGGCGCCTCGAAAACGAGGTTGTAACCTCCTGTCCCGACCTCCACATTACTCAGCGTCATGCTGGCAGTATCGTTGAAGGGCGTGTCCAGTTCCAGTAGGACGGTGAGCGAGTCGTCCAGAATCGTCATGGTAATATTACAGCGCTCTATTTCCCCTGGGTGCATGAAGTGGGCCGACTCGGGGCAGCACAGTTTGAAAGTTGACTGTTCCAATAAAAAGCACATAAGTTTTACACGTCAAACACCAAATTCATTCAAAAGTAAAGATTTCTTTGGTTTAAACTGGACTCTTCCTTTAAACACAGCCGAATGGTTCTACAACAATGCTCAATTAGATGCAGAATTTTTTTCTTTCAAGTTTACTTCCGAGCTGCGTGTTTTCCGGTATAGTTTTAGAATTTTGCAAAATATGTGTTTGTCTAATTTGGTTAAAAAACATTATCCAATTCAATTACATGCATTTGTTTATTGAGAAAATTTCTATGAAGTTCGGGGTCATGGAACTTTGTCAGAGATAAGTAGTTTTCAGAAAGCCTAGGTATTTGCTTTAGTCCCCATCATTAACGAAAGCATAAAAAGGGAAAGTGACACTTATCTTCTTACGGGTTTATGATTTCTGTAAACTAAAATTGACACATAACTGTGCGAAAGTTCAAAGAGCGTTATGGTCCTAATAATCAAACATGTTTTTTCGTTGATAAAGTTGGCATTTGCATATGTATAAGTTATTACAATGTACATTAAGAATCGAAACAAAGAACGCACCTTTGGTAATTCAACTTGGAAGAACATGGCCTGGGTCTCTCTCTCAGAGTTACCAAGGGCGTTGGAAACTTCCACATTAGCCGACAAAGCAGCTGTCAAGCCAATCTCCACTTCGCTACTGTTCATTGTGCTAACCGTCAGCTCCAGGACCAGCTACAGCAAGGACAAAAACACAGACCAGAAAGCTGTTGTACCTGGTTAAGCCGATCACAATGAAAGATTTTCACTGTTGAATTGAAAAATCATGCAAAACAACAGGCAAAGACCCTTGGGAATGTCGATCATTTTCATGACCAAATAAAGCCCAATTGGATGGAGTTTAAATTAGTCATAAAGAGCGAAGAACAAACATGTAGTGGTCAAATGAAATTTTGCACTATAATTTTTCAAATCTCGTTTGACTACAGTGAACAACTGCCAAAATTCTTAGCAGCCGGCTTCCTGGAAACTTTGCAGGAATTTGACAATATTTGAAAGTTTACTAATGATTTTTGTTCACACCTTGCTGTTTTCTTCGGTTGCATTGCCAATGGGAGGGTTGCACACGTAACCGAGATCGACAACGGCATACGTCTCAGAGTCAGAATTCCTGGATAACACAAATTATGCAAACGGTCAAGCTACTGAGTGATGCCCATTGGTCTTGGAGGAAAATTTGTTGTAAATGATTCCAAGCTGTTTTCAACAATTCTACCTTTGGTTGCAAAGTTGTGAAATTTCAAACCACGCAATGACATGAAATAATGGCAAAACAAGTACTGGGTGCGACCGCTCGACCTTTGCGGGATCGGTCGATCTCATTGCACGACTTGTTCAATTTTGCCATCAACCAATCGGTTATATTTTTCTGATTCACACTTTTGCGAAAGGTTGTTTCGAAACAAAGGGAAGCAACGTCGGATTTTTAATACAAGATGGACCACTGACACGATTTGGCGATCGTGCAGATCGACCAATAGCACTATACACATGTCAAGTACCATCTATCGCACTTAGCATCTTTATAAGTTACTGTGCGTGTTTGCAGCTTGTAAAAATGCTATTTGCAAAAATGATGTTAAAAATAAGCAATAATATACACTTTTAACCAAGTTTTTATTCGTCTGAAAAAGTTAAGGTGCAACATTTTGCATAAAACACAAGATCAAAAAACACAATAACGTATGGTGAGAAAGAATTGTCGCGATTCTAGGTACTTTGAAGCGCTGGTACCTCAACAGGTAAGAAATTAAAAAGAATCACCCAAAAATCGGCGACAGCAGGCCCTCTTGTGTGCAAAGCAGGTTCAGACCCACAGATGTCACGTTGATGCTGGTGACTTGAAGCCAGGCTACCGACGTGGTGTAATTCACCACGTACTTGGAAGAGATGTTGGCAGGTATGACCAGGGTGTGAAGCACCTTGGTCTCAGATCCCGCAGTGACTTCAGTCGAGTAGGTTGGAGCGGGACTGAGGGTGTTGTTGGTGGTTAGGATAGGCGCCTGCCGAGGACGAGCAAACAGGGGGGAAATAGGTTGTCATATTTCGAGGCATACTTCAGCACGCTAAAACTTCAGCCTTGTGAAAACACTGCCCTCCATCGTGACCCAAACAGTTATAACACGGTATGTGTCAATACAAAAGTCATCTTACTTTGGCTACACTGGTTGCAACGGTGATATTTCCCTCGGACACCCAGAGACGCGTTGCACCGACCAGCACAGACGCGGCCACGGGGACGGTCGAATCGGGGACGTCCTCCGACACCCGCACGATGAGTTGGATCACCAGAGCGTCATCGTCAGTAGTCGGGCTCCCCGGACGCGCTGCAAAAGGCACAGATCAGCATGATTTTCATAAGTGAGGCCTGTGCGGCAAAAAAGCCATACTCTAACTGTGATGCTAATATATTATCGTATGATGCAATATAGTAGGTAAACTTAAAAGTGAGGCTTGTTCGAGCCGTCTGCTTGCAAATTGTCATGACGCCGACTAGTCTCACTTCTAAGTTTGCCTACTGTAATGCATCATATTAGCATCTCAGTTCTTGCAGGCTATTTTGCTGCACATGCCCCACTTATAAGTAGTGGTGGGTAGTCGGCTCGGATGGCACTTCGTGCTATGTAGCTCTGAAGCTGGCGATTAAGTCTGTGAATGAATCATTCATGGTGATGATATAACATTTTAAAAGGTTTATGTCCCCATCAAAAAAAATTTCATCAAACACACCAACACTGAAATCCCTTGATCCTCAAAGAAAATGTGCATTGTTTCGTTAGTGCTTGTCCGTGAAATGAGTGCGTGGATGCAGGATACAAACATACCAAAGTTGTACACCATTCCCAAGTCTAGTTCTGCGTAGTCCCTGTCGGATCCTCCCTCCCACGATGTGTACGTGGCCACCGGATCGACCAATAGACCGCCCGCAATGTTGCTACCCACAGATATCACCCTCATGTCCAGTGTGGTGACTCCAGTGGTATTGACCAGGCCTGTGACCCCGAACCGGTACTGGGCATCTGGCTGAATGACCAGCCGGATAGCCAGGACGATAAACTCCCCGGGAGCGATCTCCGGCGGGTCAGAGGCGTCTTTGAGGTCGAAGGTACTGCTGAAGGGATTAGGATCGCCCTGTATCGAGGAGACAGAATTAAATAAAGTTGGAATTAATTGACAAGACCTATTTCCAAACATGGATTTGCGCCGAGGAGACGTTAATTAATTTTGGATCTTTTTTCCCTGCCCGATGTGTATTACAACGCTGCATACTCAGTGTTTGCTCCCAAACACAAGAAGTTGACAATAACATAACAAGTATTTAAAAGGGCCGACAGTGCAAAACGTTTCTGAAACCCTTAATTACAGAAACTCCGAAAAAATACGCAAATTTGTGATGTCATATCAAAATTCGCATTGCGAATTCGTTAAAGTTGAACACATTGCAAATTGACCGAGCTGTGGCTGCATTTTGTGTGACATCAATTTCCCTTGACTTATCATTAGCCTGAAGTATAAATCGGCCTGCTTGTTAGAGAAAAGAGGACAGAAAGTAAACATTTCTCCATAAGGCAGTCCTATAAGCTGTTGGTGCAGGATAACAGGTACGGTATGTTAACTAAAGCCGCAAAACTAAGAGCACACGATCAATCCATACCGCTGGCACCGTAGGGTACGTGATGCTGGCAGGGTTGGTTGTCGTGGTGACAGAAAGACTGTTATAAGTCTGTTCTAATTTTCCGGCATGGTTGAATTTCACATTAATGGTGTGAGAGTTTCCGTGTGCTCCCAGATCAGTCACGGTCGACTTTACCACAAAGTCCACGCCGATTACGTTGTTCACGTCGTCGGTCGTGCCTTCGCCGCCTGTATTGGCTACCCCTTTCAGGTCGATGGTGGCGGCTGGTCTGGTAAATAGAATGGTTACCAACCATGACAGCTTATAAACACCTTTCTTAAAAGTTCTACTATCGGCGGGAGTCACTATCTTACAAATCTTACAAGAAAGATTTGAGTGAACATCATTTGAGAATTGACACAATAATGTGAATCCTACCCCTCGCCTGTTCTTGTAGACTTGATAATTTGACATGGACAATCCATTTAAATGTTACCGGGCCCAGGTGAATTCTTCCGATTTAATGTTTATTTTCCTTTATGGAATGGTCTTGATTTTGGGGCATCAGATATTGTCAAAAATTGAGCATAATTTACTGGTTGTGTTGAGGGTACTTTCGGCAGTAATGACATGCTTAGAGTCTAGGCCGTATTTGTGTGCCATGTATCTACGTTAATGGGCTAAAACGTGGTCTGAAAGGAATCTGGCATCGTGTAATCTTTTGCCTCTGCTGGGTGTCTTTTAAGCATCACCCTCATGTGTATTTACGCTTGTTTTTTGCTTCTTTACAATTACTATGATGAATTGGAATGATTCAAATCCAATCAATTCCAAAACTGAAATTTTGCCAAGCTACAACTTTTGCTTTAATGTATATGCCCTATAACAGTTATAGCGAAGTTAATCAACTGCAGAAAAAAGTTCCATTTTTAAAATACTGAAAGAAAAACAGGTCGTAAAAGAACGTCACAGCTGACGGAGAATAATTTAGCACTTTACCCTGCTTCGTAGACGACAGCTTTTTCAATGTCGTCCCTACGCTGGATCAGACAACTGATATCATTACCAATATGGTTGACACGAACAGCAGCTATCTGGAATTTTGCGTTGACAGCCAGTTTGACGGACACGGGACTGACAGACGTGGAATACGGAATGATGATGGACACCCGGACCTTGGCGCACTCGCCCGGAATGAGCTCAGTGTCGCCGCCGACAATACTGACATTCACATTAACCACTTTTGTCGGCTGCAATGCAAAACAGAAAGATCCAACCTATGACAATGGAGATTTAAAAAGCAATTTAGCTTCTATTTCCGACTAGGTAAATGTATGGTGTTGGTGGGGTGTTAAAGGCACCACCTGAGGGGGACATAATGGCATCCGTCCGTCAGTTTTGTTTGTAAATTATCCGTCGAGAAACGATTCTATCCAAAATCTCGCCAACAGTTCAGAATATGTTCATTTTGATGATCCAAGGTTAGCAATGTATTAGTTTGCATGATGAGGCATTTTGTTGGGGTACTTTCCATTCATGATCAATTAGGCTTATGATTTTGGTATTCATTTGTGTATAAATCTGTCTTGGTACGGTTCTGGTAAGTTCATAATTAGACACTGGTTTAGAGAGTTTGCATTTAGGTCAGACATCCAAGACAGCGAGAATGGATCCATCTGGACTATAGCTGCCGAAGTCGTGACAAGAAATATTTCTTTTAATACCGTGATATAGGAACGCCCAGCCTTGACAGTGAATGATACAGTGTCCGTGAGATCCTGCACACCGTCATTGGCAGAAGCCTCCAAGGTAGAGGAAGATTCAGCAGCCAACCCACTGTTGTCTCTCAGGTAAGCCACCACGTCCATGGCGATCCTGCTATCGGCTGTGCTGTTGGCTTCACCTGAGGTGAATACATGAGGGCGAGAAAACAGAGCGCTTAATTTTGTAATCCATCCTCTACTCAAGCCTTTGGAAGTAGTTTTTTCCCATCAAACGTTAAGGATTGGAATGCGTTGCCAGCAAACATCATTTCTTGCACTTCACTGGAGACATTCAAAGATGGGTTAGCTGTAAGTTTTATCAAGAATGACATGTTTAGACGATCCACGCGATGTGCAGGCTGGTGTGATGTGTCCTGACGGACATTTATTTGCCGGATCAACTATACAGATACAGATACTGAACGTGCCGCAGGTAAATTGTTCCTTTGGACAACTGCCAGAAACAGGTTTTCGAATTCTTCACGATGTACAACTCCAGAGCATCTGTGTCAACTGGCTATGTGAAGGCAGCAGTTTCGGGGAATTTTGCTCGTTTACTTAAAGTTTGCATAAAACTTCTTCCATCTGACAAATGTTGGCATGTATAATGTTGTCAGAATCGCGCATGAGCAAAATCAGACTGTACTAATAGACCGATTCGCTGACGCCATTACTGCGATGTGGCTGTAATTCAGGCGTGCATTCCTAAGCTTGACGACCGCGTGATTTTGGTAAGCAGTGCACTCCCATTGGCTGATGAGGAAGCATACAATGTACATTTCTTTTGTTTACGCCTGTGGGGACAGCGCAGTTGTGGCTCCTGATTCTTGTCACCGGATCGGTCTATAAAGGCCAGAGAGGATCCATGTTTTAAAAAAAATACAGAAAAACAATGGAACAGGCCTCCTCTGTCCCTTTGCATTCAAGTAGTTTTTAATGAACCGACTTCTGCAAACTACCGATCCAAATAATCGTCTCAGACATCCCCAGCGGCGAATCATGTTGGGTTAGAGAGGAGAGGGTGAAATCGGATTTGTGCGTATACAATCGACTGATTCCTCCCCCCCCCTCCCAAAATGGTTGTATAGTCTGTGATGCACATGCAGTCAATAAATAAATTGGCAAAGTGTCTCTGAGGACGGTCACTGAACCCCTTTTTGCCTTGGCTTGGTATGCCATTTATTATCCTGAATTTTTATCAAGTTTGATAACGTAACATCAGTGATTTCGCCAACGTTCGATGCGATATCCTCCCCAAGTTGAAACCTCGATCCGAACCATAAGGAGGACATACGCAGATTGAACCCTGAATTGATTCATTGTTACTCATGTCCTATATGTGCCTTAGAAATTACCTCCATTGATGATATGCCCGAAACCAAAGACAGATTCGTAGGCATTCTGAGTTACCACGTCAACCTGGAAGGTCGCCAAGTCTTTGTTGACGTCGAGGCAGAATCCAGTACCCGTGTTGCAGAGCTGCAACTCACAAATCAGCAGGTGCTCTTTAATGTTCGTATGGGCTGCAAGGAGATTAAGCAACTGTGGATTTTAACAAGAGCCACAAATCACAAAGCAACTCTGGACAATATGAAGTTCTCACATAGAGTTACAACGCAGAGGTGCCTGTCTTTTTGTTATACTTGAAATTATGGTGTAACAGAATTGCACCGAGTTATTGCCAAAATGAAGGTACTTGCATGCAAAGACTATGTTCATCTTATGAAGTTCCAAACGTGGACGATTCATATTTACCTTGGAAAAGGTTCAATAAACCAGAGATACGACTACAAGATGAGTAGTTATGCATCATTGTCTAAACCACGAATCTGTCAAATATTTCCTTGTTTTGTGGGAGATTTGGCGGGCCCCTTTCTTGATGTTTCTAAAAGCGACATTTGTATGCAGCTTATGCAACTGCAGAGCATTTGGTGTTCCATTTAAAGCCAACAGCTATATATTTGGAAGATGTCGGAGTGGCGTCAAAATGAATATCTTTACCAGTTGCCCGAACGGTGAGGTTGGCTACACTTCTGTAGACATTCAAATCAACACTGAATACCTCTACTTCACGTTTGTGGAACACTGCAACACCTGAAATTGTGAGGTTTGTATCCGCTGCGTACTGTTCAGGATCAAACAAAGCAAACGACTAATTAATGTAAATGTAATTAACAATGCCAACTTTCTAAAAAAAAAAAGGATGATGCTGCTACTTAAATGTGATATTTCATGAATTTTTATGACACATTCACTCCTGCATTGAAATTTAAATGTTATGGTTTGATCCAAAATTTGCGATTCAATGGCATTCGTCTCAATGACAGGGTTTGTTGGTACATGGGCAATGTAGAAATCGTTTAAATTTTTGAAAAGAAGGGGTTTTTATGAGCTCTGTCTTTACCTGGGGCACTTGGTCGATAAGGAAACCGATCTGACCAATCCACAACTTTTCTCCTCCGTTGTACTCCACGCCAGCACTGACCCAGTACCTTTCGTCGTTAGCCAATGCCATGTCTTCCTTCAAGGTGATGGAGAACGTAATGATAATCTTTGAAGCGTTGGCGCTGGTCGAGGTGTTAAGGTTGGTCACGTTGCCAAAGCTGTAGATCGCAGTGTCGAGCTGGAACCAACGAGGAGGAGAAAATACGAGGACAGGTAGCTGCACCGATGAAATTCTCAAAAGATAAAGAACACGCAATATGAGGGAGCAAAGGAATACAGAGACAGAGGACGAAAACGCGAGCAAACGCAAAGAAGACAGACAATGCTGATCTTGCAAAACAGCCAGAAATTCAAATTAGCACTCTCATACCGACACCTGCGACTTCTCTTCTTATAAAAGAGTCTCCCGAAGGTTTGACCTTTAACCCTAACAATCCTCAATCCGTCACCTGTTGGAGGACTGAGGAATGTTAGGGTTAATGGTTGATGCTCCTGATCTAACAGTTACACTCATGTACAAACATCAAGAAAACAAAGATATCAGAGGACGTTAGCCTACAAAACGGTACAAACACAAAGGCATAAGTTATCGATAACTAACACAGAAACAAACAGTTCACTGAGAAGTATTTTCTGTTGATACCTGAAAGATTTCACTATCTCAGATTTGCATATTTTCAACACTGCAATAGCTGACCTCTATTGGTTTAATTAAAATATCAGCGTCAGGGTTTAAAATTCCTTAATGTATAAATATTTTCCTCTTGGTTTACCCAGAAAGGGTTCTCTTTTTGCTGGACGCCAGATGTCTTTGGCTGGATGGAATCAGTTATTTCGAGCTCTGCCCCTTGGTTGACCGTAGGAGGGCACAAGACCGACAGGGTGTTGTTCTCGTCGTCGGTGAAGATCTCGACGCTGACGCCCTGCACCATCATAGACTCTGGGATGTCAATGGTCAGCACGCAGTCCACCCGGGATCCCACTGTCAGGGCCCCTACTCCCGCAAACTCTGTTGCGGGTACAAAGCTGATGTCCAGGGTGTGGTTGCTGTCAAGAACGGAAATCTGAGTACAAAAGAGAGAGAACTAAAACTCTGCACCCACACAACATTCTTCAAAGTCCCTGTTCTGTGACAATGGCATCATGAGAATCCCTAGCAGTGCTACCACAGGGTCGACATTACTGCCACCTTCAACATCCACCCATGTTGTCGCATCCGAATCGTGTGTCTAATGCTTCGGCTAGGAGTACGTTGCAAGTTACTACATTTGGGCCTGTGCTGACAATAAGCGTACGTAGCCATCTCTAGAAACTGTTCCCACATACAGCTTAACTCAAAAGATTCCAAGAATTCCAGAGATTCCGAGGATTGGAACAAGAAAAATGCCAACAGAACAAGGGGGACTGCATGTCTTTTGCATCTTGCATCAAATACCATAATTGTGCATAAGTGGGTTTTTGAATAGCTTCTCCAAACTTGGCGGTTTTCAAATTTCTTTGTTTTGTTATTTGCACTCGAACTGCTCGCACCTGAAGGCTTCAGTTCATAATTTATCCCCCGAACTATTTCAAAACAAAAATACGATACTACTTGCGCTACAGGGTTTTCTTCAAAACAAAACAAAACAAACAAAATTTTGTCTCCGACCAAAAACACGCATAGGCCTGTATTTAACGCCGAAACTGTACCTTTTAGGCTTCAAGGATTCTAATCACTCGGTTCCTGTTCACCGTGACCCAAGGCTGGTATTTTAAAAAGATATTTTGACGACACTGAGGTCCTTTAAGACCCTTGGTCTTGTTTCAGACCCAGTGCATTTGTTTTTACAATAACAACGACGAACCTCCGGCATAGACTGCAACCTCCTGAGTTTAACTGTCTGCTCACTTCCCCTGAGGAGCACGTCGCTGACAACAATCACAACTGGTGCCGTCCCATACACACCGTCGTCTGCCGCATTTCTAGCATACACCTTTAACCTGTGCTTGCTGTTGGGTGTCAATGTGGCCTGCGCCGCCACACTGACGCCGCCCGTCTTGGAATCGATCGCGAACGTTGGTGATTTGCCGCTCCTGTCTTCGTCGTCCAATGAGTAGCGCACCTCTGAGCATGGGCAATTCGTCTTAGACGCTGCACAAGTCGTTTCGTCTTTGTCAGTCGCGCGGAGGTACATGAAAGGATACTCCTTCGGCTCGTCGGGCGAGATGTACTCCTCGTAAGAATGCTGAGTAAAAACTGGCGCGTGTTCGTTGCCTGAAACGCCAGTAAGTCAAGAATACAAAGAGTATTCAATTAAGCCGGAAGAAAATCTTTTAAGAGTTTGTCATTGCTCTTTTTTTTCATTTTTTAATAAATCGCACAACTGAACACACGCACAAAACATTACATGGAAAGTTTCCTAAAAATGCTCATAACAATGAGAACGTTTTTGTGTCACAGGGAGTGAAATATAGTACCAAATGCTTTCATAATGTACCAAGGTCACATAATGCTACCAAGAAAGTTAAAATGAGGCATGTGGCCTAGTGGTTAGGGTTTGTAGCTTCTGATTATAGGATCAGGGGTTCAAATCCAGCTGGTGGCAGCATGTTGTAATCCTGGGCAAGTCACTTCACCCCCATGTGCCTCTCCCCACCCAGGAGTTAATGGGTACCTGCGAGGGCAGACACGGCAGTTTAGCCGTTTGCGCCCAAATGGCAGCACCAGGCTAGTATACTCCCCAGGGAGCTGAGATGGTTTCAGGAATGTTCAGATGAGGTGCGAGCCCAATGTGCAGGGATAATGATAATACAGCGCCTCGGAATAGTTTGTTCGATAGATGGCACTTTACAAGTGCTAGTTGTTATTACTATTAACGTGCGCGAATAATACCAAGCAATGGAAAAGAAGTTGAAGGATTTATACGATTATTCTGCTGTATTTATCTGTTTACATTTATTTTCTTTCTTTTGGTTTCCTTAATGTCAACACATTCATTATATATGTCGACACAGGAAATAAACAGGAGCTATTTATACTGAATAAACTTAAAAGGAGAAATCATGGCAAACTCAAGTATTGCGGTTAATTTTAAGGTACGAGGTTAACAATGAATCTTTCAGCAGTTCAGATAAAAAACTACAGTGGATTGTTGAACCATTAATGTCCTTAATCTAGACAAGAAAATGACAAGCGAGGCAATTTTGAGCGTCTTTTCTATTATAGCTATAGTGAGTCTATAGTTAGCCAATGCTAAAGCCCAAAATTTCAATGCCCAGCTCCCCAGCTCAAATATGCGTCTTCAATGAATTATATGACCACGGTTATAAAAAAGATCGAGGAAACTCGACACTGAGAATGATTTCGCTTCAAAGAAACTAAAACGTTACTCTACCTGCTTCGTTGCACAATGGACCTCGCCAACAAGGCAGACAGACGCAGGCCCCGGTATCTGAGCAGGTGCCATGGTAACACGGCTGCTCGCTCGTCCTTGGTGTCGTCGTTAACATGCAGATTAAAGTGATCAAAGCAGTAGGGAAAAAAGACTCGTTGACGTAAACAAATGGCTACGCAACTCGTAAACTTGTGTTTTAGCCCAATTGATGCCGATACTGAACCACCTATCCTGCACTAGTCCTGTACAAAATTCTGTTGAACTTAACGGATAAAAAAACGGACACTTATATCAGGACAAATATGCCATTTCTTCTTCTCTCCAGGACTCAAAACCTGTACTACATTTGGGATGATTACAATCCCGACAAGACAAATTTTACTAGCAGCATGAAATTTGGGGGTGTTTTATTATTTATTCCTTGTGGTTCACGTTAACTTTGGCGATAGACGAAGCTACTTCTATCGCCAAAGTTAACGTGAAGCACAAGGAAATACGTTAATAGGGACTGTGCATGGCACTGCCATCTTTCAGGTGTAACCTGATTGTGTTTCGGAGGGATAGCACAAGAGGTCACTCTCCAGCCAGAATACTGCATTCTCCTGAAGACGAACAGAGCAAGCTGTTCGAAACGTCGAGCCCCCCCCCCGGTTCCTATCAGAACCACACCTACTCACGGAAGAGATCATGAGATCACATCATGGAGCTAGCTATGTCTCCGCAAACCACGTCACTATTGCTATCTTCACCATGAAAATCTTTAAATCTCCCCAAAGGTTAACTCATGCGTATCCCTATGGAATGAAAGTTCTCACTGGAAAATGGTTCCCTCCACAACCTCTATTAGATCAAACCGGGGCTAGAAATTACATTTATGTGGGGACTTGATTGGGTCGACAAAGCTGTGGGTGCAGGCGAGGGCGTAGTGTTGAGTCCACAAGTAAGGGATTTTTTTTACACTATTGGCCATTACGTATTACTTGATCCTTACAATGCACAGTAATTCTTGCCTCTTATGATGATGTTTACGGATACTCATTTAGTACTTGGAAATTTATGTGAAACTTAGCTATCAGTATTGGCTCATGCCCGATTCTTTAAATTTTCTTCTTTACTTTTTTGTCACATATGCTTCGATCGGCAGGAAAACTGCGCATGCGGGGTCTTTAAAAAGCTCACCTCCCTTGTCAAAAGTTTGTTTCAGTATATATCATTCCATACCCACACACTAATGCCAGCCCCCCCCCCATCTACGGATTTGGGTGAATGGGTTCCTTTCAGTCGCAGCCAGCTTGGTATCATTATTAGCACTGTTGCAGTGATAAAAAATACATGTATGGTTTTCATATGTTAGGAGGTCAAATAACAAGCGTTGTCATGGTACTTGTCGAGCTGGTGTCAGTGTACATGCGCATGTAGTACACTTTAACTGCCGCCAATACGTTGATTGTGTAAAGGGGGGTCAAGATAGAAGAAATGCACTGGTGTTTCTCAGCGACATAATTGCTTTGTCTAGGTAATATGCTGCCCAGTACAATTCTCATGACTTCCTTTTAGCCGAGAGTGGCTATCCACTGACACTGATCCGTACTGAAAAGAGATCTAGGCTTGCGCATCCTGTAGTATCTTTCCTGGTTATATCTGGCGCACCAGTGTCGCACTGACCCGATAGTTTAAAACATCTAACTTTGTGTGTAATTAGTTAAAATTTCGGGATGCTCAGATTCAGCACAACTCCGTACACCAGTCTGTACAGTGTAATAACGAAACATGACATAATGCATGCGTCCATAGACTGTACACAAATTACAGCAACGCGGTGCTCATTACTGAGACGGTGGCATACATGTACAGTTACACTATCATTTACCATGGCAACGGAGCCAGGCAATGAATTAATAAGTGCCTTCACGGTAGACTGCTTCTTTCGAAAGCCTTGGTCGTCATCATCTGGAGGGAAGGCGCGGCTATGTTTCAACTCGGTAGTATATGTATATGGTGCTCAAATTGTCCTTTCCTTTGCCCAATGTTCATTGCATTTTAAGGGAAATGGAGCTTCTGAACCCAAAAATTCCCCAAATTTATTAAGTACTTATACTTTACTTGTTTTTAATATGTTTGCCTCGCCTCTAACCATCAAAAACTCGAATAATGCTTTATTCATTAAGTAATTCATGGCTAAAATGGCGTAACTGAACTAAAATCTATAGTCTAGCGTAATTGATAATTTATATTTGTGCACTGGAAAAGGGAGAACAAAATAACTGGACAACATTTGTTCAGCTTGAATTATCGGGTTTTTCAGTTTACTTATTATAGGCCTAGACTTCAAGATACTTGGAAATGTCACGTACAATTGTTTATGTCGGGGATGCGTAAGTATACCGTAAAGTGTTGGTGTTCAAACATAAAATTTATCCTTGCTGCTGTACCCGCACTGGTTCTAAACGGACTTAACTTTCTTTTAACAACAGATATGAAGTTATTTTACCCCTTAAAGACAGGAAACTCGCAAAACTTTGACATGTACATGTAAATGTAATCGGTTGACTGACCTTGTACAGTCTTCCTCAGTGCAGAGTTCGTCTTTGATGTTTGAAAAACAGAACTTGGGCGATTCCAACGAAGTCTCACCAAATGCTTCAAACAAAATAAAATTCAAGCCTTGAGGCCAGTGCTGATCAAGGTTGGCTACAAGAGAAGCCTTAAGAGCTCAAGGAAGCTTCAGAATTCAGGGGGGTTTCGACAGATTTGAAACAAGCTGCTCAAGTTATCAGTTCAAGCCGTCTATTTACGACATTGACATTTGAGGGTTTGAGATACGTTACTTTACCTGTTGAAATGAATATTTTTTGATATTGTAAAAATAACGGAATTCGAAACTTTGATGCGTTTTCCACTATTTGAGAATTTGGGTCGACATTCTAAATATGTACACGCCTCTTGATTTGACTCAAAGGCCATAGGAGCATTTCTTGGTTTAAAATGAGATTATCCAAAGCAGGCCGCACCATTTGGCGCCTAAAACCTCTCTAACCCTGTTCGATATACATTTCGTCACATTGATATGGGTTAATTGATTTTATGATCGTTTAACTACCATGGCGACGCCCCTTGGGATGAATAAAAACACCATCTAAATCGATATACCCCGCTGACGTCACTCATGAGGTGGTTTTGTTCTCAGGGCACTCGAAGACAGAGTGCGGTCTTAATTATTACCTGCTATTGATTTTAGGCTGTAATTAATCGACATAACAACCATTTATTTTCACTAGATAATGAGGCAAATGTCACACGGTTTAGTTCATGCAGTCTTCGATTACTCATCTACATTATGTGCTCGCTATTCAATTCCTCACACATAGTGATTTTTAAAAAGATGAATTATTTGTTCATTCGAAAGAAGAGATAAAATAATGGCTGATAATATAAAAGATCATTATGTTTCCACGGTTGCAAATTTAGATTAAGAGAGTCATTGACTATAGCTTTGACAGAAACGCGATGCTAATAAATGGACCCTTTCAATAATATTTGCCCACAGGTTAACACGTATTAGCGCATGACATTTGACTCGTCTCATACAAAATTAATAACATGGCTGGCATCTGGATATTTTAACATGAAAGAAAACAGATCACGTCGAGCCAACAAACAGTCCAATATATATAGCAATTGAGAACTTATAGTATGACTGATATATTATTGTGATTGACTGACTGAAAATGGCAGCGCGTTTGCTGCAGGTGTAACTTCGACTCTACCCAGTCGTAAGGCGAGCATTTTCTCAAACGTTGGTGCTAGGATATTTTTAAGACGATTTTTTTCTAATTCTGAATCTGAAAGGTCGGCGGATCCTGGCACCAACTTTAAAAAACCCTCTCGCTTAAAGCCCATAAAGCTTAACCCATTTTAGCAATGGTTTGAAGAGAACTGAATGCGCAAAGAGATGTCAGTAGTGCTTGTTGCATTTATTTAATTAAATTCTCGTGGGTGGGGAGAGTTGATTAACCTGGACCGTTTGCGAGCAAGCTAAATAAAGAAGCAAACAGGTTTTCAAAACGTTACGGAAACCCTTTGTTCCCGGCATTCAGGCCAAGTTTAGGAAATCTCACGCGCCATCAAGACAAAAAACAGGCTCCGATGTTTACACTCCGAAAAAAGGCGCGTTCAGGGATAAACATTCGGTTTGTAAACACGTTTGAATACCATTGACGGATTGTATTGGGCATCTGAGCATTGGTGTGTAGAAATTGGACACTTGATATTTCCAGCATCTAAACATGACAGCAGTGACAGCAATATTGTCTAGAATTAATAGACACATTCGGAATCCACATTGTGAGCCTACACAGGTTAAATGCCGTTGCTAAAAAGGCTTTCCAACCCCAAATGTTTTTGTACAAATAGGCCTATTGATGTGCAGCTGTTTCAATTTTCACTGTTTAGTCATTTTTTCCCATCTATTTGACCCACTAAGCCTGAAAACGTAAAGGAATTATTACTAATTACTACTATTACTAATTCTCAAAGATTCGTTTTATGAGAATTTCATCTACTAACAGAAAAAAAAACCAGCAAATCAATAACTGTTCGATTTCAGGAAGCCCATTCTATCAGTCATTGATGAAAAGAAATATCAGGTTCCAGTAGTACGGAGCAATGCACCATCTTCAGGTTTTTGAGGTTCCCAACTATTCCCCCCAAAAAAATTTCCCGCAGAGTTGTCCGGAAAGACAACGAAACACATACAACGAATCCTGTTGATCATTTCGAAAAAATAGCGTTGACTAAATCGAACCTTTGCGCCTGGCAATGATGCCCTAGTTGAATGAAATTTTCAATTACGACCGTTGATTTTAATACATAGGCCTACATAGAGCGCGTCGATTAAATTTTAAGCCGGGAAAATCCATAAAACTTATACATTTTTCATTAGATTGAGTGGACACTTGTCTGAAATGGTGTGACAGCGAAGGAGTGTACATATATCTATTTTAATTTTTGCTGGTGTTACAATCAACACTTTTTGGTATTTAACAGATGATCACACCAAAATGTGTTACGTTAACACCGCTGGTGTTACTTTATACACCTGCAAGTGTTCAAATGCACTGGAGAAGTGTTGAAACAACACAAATAATCTCAACACCTGTGAAAATTTTGGAATGGTCCTCTGATAACACCAGGTTTGTGCAGTGCGATGTCTTGGGTTCTGCGTTATGACGCACACAAAAATAATTATATCTTACGTCATAACATGAATATCAAATAACTTGTATTTTTGGTCGTCTCTGACCTTTTTAAAGGAAAAGACCATTTTCTCAAATTCAGTTTGCATTGATAGCAGTGAAAATGAGACAGTACCTTTCCTTTTATAGCGCAGCAAAGATGTGGCCTTTAATGACCGTTTTTAATTACCGGTACGCCCTTCCTTTTTCTAAAAAACTAAACTCACAAATCTTCGTGTCACTGACACAAAGATAATCAATATGCAGCCACAAATGCTGCCGACGAATACATTGGAAACAATGGCAAGTTTATGGATGACATGGTGAAATATTGGGGATTCGAACTTGGTCCACCTTGCACAACTAAGCTGACTAGAATTCAACACCTAACAATGACAGACATCGTCGCCATGTCATCCCTTAATTGACACATCTGCGACATGATCATTTCCGGCATTGACATGAATCCCCACAGCTTTTGTTCGAATTGTCCAAGAAAATTTCATTTCGTGTTTTTTTTTTCAAAAGTCAGAAATACTGTCCTTACCTCCACGAGCAAGTGACACGACACAACATAGAAGGCATAGCATGCTCTCTTGAGCTAACTGCATCGCGAGACGGCTCTCCAACCGACCGACCCAGAAACAGAGAAATCCCTGCAGACTGGATTATCCTTATTCAGCACGTAATCCTTTCCTCCCAAAAGTTGTAGCAATACTTCATCGAAATGAGGTCAGCTCAATGAATTGTGCGCTCCATCAATTGAAAGAAAAAAAAATCGACAAAAACTGTGGCGCGTAGGCCTACATACGAGACGGCTGACACAGCTAGGTGAAAAAAACTCATCCGCGTAGACTTCACGTGTATTATGATGTGATCGTAACACCTGTAGAACGACTGACGGGTGTGTACACAAAATTACCTTCATACATCTTGCCCGCGTGTGTTGCACCAGCCAAGGTGACTTTTACCTTAATGACTTTTGGGCTAGCTATATGATGGTCGTTAACAATGGCCTCTTCCGAGGGCGACAGCCTGCGATAATTGGTAACGGTTCTTGAAACTGCGCCATCTCGTTTCAGAGTTTTGTTTGTGCTTTCGGCTTTTCGAACTATGTACCGGTAATTCATTTTTTAAAAGTTTCGCTTTATACAACATTGGAACAATATACTGCAAATTTAAAGTAAAGTGAAATTCAAGTAAAACGTAACATCAGTTTCACGATTCAGCAGTTTGGTTTGATGTTTTCACACTCGATAAGACGGTTAAACAAGACAGACCAACTTCACCATATCCGTTTATATACTGGCACGTTCTCATGCGCCACAATATTTCTGAAATAATATTTGGCAGATGAGATCAACAAACCCTAAATAAAGACTAAATTGAATTTATTTTACAGTTTAGGTGCAGTACTTTGGCTTAGTTCGTCCCGGGAAGAACGTTTTTAAAAATACTAATCGACCGATTTCTGAAAGTGTCCTTTTCCGGTTTTCTCAAATTCCGGTTTCCTCAAATTTCCAGTGGCACCGATGTTGATTGTTTCATTTGTCCTTGGGCCCTTAGCTGGATCGTTGTTGTTGTTACAAGTAGAATCCAAAGGTCCATTTGTCTTTGAAGATTACCTTGAATGTAGGTATAGCTTTGAAGTTGCCATTGGTGTGCAACAGTGGATGGTCACAGCCTTATATATAGAAATGTAAAAATCACTGTACAAGAGGAAGGATGACACGGAACGACAACCACTGATTCAGGCGTTGACGATTCACAGAGCTGGATACAGAGAGAGAAGAGCAAACCTCAGACTTTGGAACCAACATGGCTGTTCATTATGTGTGCAGTACAGCATACAGCTATTGTGTGCTTATTGACCAACTACACTGATGCATAATCCACCATTTTAGTTCCACTAATTGAGACACCACCCATGTCGGGACTCTATAATACTGTGCGCCACCAAGAGGTTGCTACTACGAGGCCATCTCTCAAGTGTACACCATTAGCATCTTAGTGTTTGTCAGAAACCAACTTGGGAAAACTTTTGAAAGATTGGGACATTCCATGTAACAGAGAGAACAAAGGATTACGTAAAACTGCTTCTGGAAATACACTCAAGGATCTTCTTTCCTTACAAATGAACCTTGAGAGTATTTCAGGTTTCCTATATGGGGGGCAGCCGGCGAATTGAACCGGTCGACCATGCACTGTCGGAGGTCCGGCAGAATATTCCAGTGTCAGTCGGGTGGGGGGGGCTGAACCTCATCAGCGACTAAACAGACTGAGCAAACGTTTGGCAAAAGCTGAACAAATTTGGACGAATGCGGCGATTCGACTCAGCTTCAATTACATAACATTATGAAACTTTAAATTACTTTAATTTCTTTACCGATTCATAAAGTGTAAGGTTGTATCTATACACGGTGTACACGTAGGTTAAATTGGCTGTTTTGCATATAAGCAATATAACTTTACAGCTAGAATGTCTGCAGTCATCCATTGGCAGCGAGGCGTCGCAACCCCCCCCCGGGGAAGGAACAAATTTACAAAAAAAGTAGTTGAGGGAAGAAAAGAAAAAAAGAGAAACAGAACAGAAAAGGGAAAGATATAGCATTGAACCCTTGCACCTTTTACAGTTTCTCAGTTTGCCGCCAGAGATATCTCCCCCCCCCGGAAAAATTCTGTTCACGTCCATGATTGGCAGTGAATATGCGTCACGCACCTCGGCATCTGTCGGTGTTACCTGTTTGCATTACACAGAATGAATAGATGCGCTCAGGCGGCTACAAATTCAGTTTACATTTAAAACTTCGTGTGAGTTGACGTCCAGCGAACCATTCCCTAAAAAGAAATGGCGTTTTATCCACAAGTAGAAACGTACACAAAAGACACTGCGTACCTCTTAGAAATGTTGGGCCTTTTCAAACAAGAGTGTTTGGACTATTTGGAACGCCAACCAGATTTTCCAGAGGGATATGACGTCGCTAAAGGTTGGTCCAGAGCACTTGATGACGGTCGGGCCTGCGTCACCCAGTTTCCCCACGGCCGCGCAAGTACTGCTGGGTTTCTCCTGGGCCAAGCATTCCACGACATTAGGGTCGGCCAGCAATCCGAACTGCCGTCTAAGGAACTTCACTTCGTGGGATTCTTTGGAGAAAAACCGGCCGGTGTCAAGCAAGAAATGGTCGACTTGGTGACGAAGGTTAACGATAGCTTGATGGTCCAACTGAGCAGTCACCCGGACATACTCCTGTACGGGTCTGCCGAGGTGATAGAGAGGGAAGGCGACTTTTACAATTTGGTAGTGATGCGGAACGAAGCGGCTGGTCAGCATTGGAAAGGGGGGTCGTTGCACATCAATGAAGCCGTCAAGTGAGTGTTACATGCAAGCTATTCCTCATCCACAACCACAACCTGTTCGTTTGTTAGCTTCAGCAGAGGGGCTTCATATAACAGAAATGTCGAAAATCCCTGGAAACAATGGAAGCACACTAGAGGGCCAGGGTTTCTGTTTCTTTTATGTGTTTTATAGTGCAGTTTGTGAGTTTTTTTTTTAATCAAATACTCTCGCACTGGATACAGGTTACCCCTCTCTGGATAGGGCAATTTTTTCACACGCATATAAGGACGGAGATCTGTAGAGAATTTCGTTAGAAAAGGAACACGACTACCCAAATCACTGCATGGTGCTTGGCAACTGGAAGCGATGAGTATAGCCCGAGATTGTGATTTGGGCTTAGGTTTTGGCGCAAGTTCATTAAGTAAACTTATTGACTAAACTTGTTTAGTTATGTTGGGTTGTTTCAACTATCTGAAATTTAGGCTATAATGGAGGCCAGGAAAGACATGGCTATACAAATATGTGGGATAGAAAAAAATGCACGGTCGTTTCTTTAAGAGGATGTAATTATATAAAAACAAATTCTACAATCTTAAGGTTTTTTGTTATTGACAAAATCCCAGTTTAGCTCACTCCCGAAAGCCTGGCCACTGTGTAACAACAGTGACGAGGATATATAATCTTCACCCTGAAGTATGGCAATATCACACCGCTAGTCCAGCGAGCAAAGGTTGATAGCATGACAAACATGTATTCTGTAGTGAATGCCAAAAATAGCAGTGTGGCAAAGCTTTTTTTAAAAAAAAAGTGAGGGCCGTACAATCATTGGTAAAAACTAATAAGTCAACTAACCCACTCAGACATGGATCCAGGGGGGTGGGAGTTGAAAATCCCCCCTCCGGCCCTGAGACTAAACAAGGTAGAATCGGGAAAAATAGTAATAAATAACTGAAGTAAGTGCACATATACCATTACAAATATATGTCATGTATAATGTTTCATCATCATTTTTGCTTGTCGGCAAAACTGAGACATAATAATAATCTCCCGCCTGACACCCCCCCTGGATCAGTCCCTGCATGAAATTTTGAGCTTGGACTGTACTGATATTATACTTTTGCGTTAAGCATTTCGATCCGTTGAATTTTTATGAACATGATGAACATGACATGCATCACTTATTATGTGACCGAAATTCGCATGTCATTCCTGCAACGCTCCTTTTAACTCACAGTTATGTATATAAGCGGTTACTCCCTGGGCGAAGTAATTTTTGTGGACACATTCGAAAAGTTGATGGCTCCTGTACGGCAACGTGCTTATCTGCGTCAGTTTTTTTAAAGCGATGCGTCCACAAAGCTGATACGACAAGCACGTAAGTGCACCGTCAGTGAATAAAGCTGGTTTGAGACAGATTAAATTTGTTGCATAAGCAGTTCAACAGTGCACAAATTTGGCGAATTGGACAGCGGTCAAAAATGTTTGGAAGTATAAGGTCTTAACGGCAGTTTCTCAACATGATTCAGAGGATTTGGCAACTTTGTGGGGTCAGTAATAAAACGGGGGAAGCTGCGTTAGGGAACTGTCATATCAACTTTCAAGCTGAAAAAAGTCGAGAACAAAAATTAAACGGCCATTATTCAACATTACGTTCATTATTTGTCCGTCATATCGGAAACAGGAGATTCTTTTATACGGAGTGTAAAGTTGACACGAAAAAAATCTCTATTATTAATAAATTTACTTCCAAGAACATCTCTGTTATTACTACATGTATCTCTATTAGAAAAAGACATATGCCGATGCCTCTTTCAATAATAGACATATCTCGATTAATGATATGTCTCGATTAAATGTTGACTTTGCATGTCCAGAACTAGATAGATTTCTGTTGTGGGATTAAATGTCAACTTTGTACGCCATACTTCTACATGTGCCCTGTAAAACGTTTCCATAATGTTCGTGGTCAATTATCAACATTTAATCAGGCTACATGGTACCTTTAGTTTGGGTCACCCTACCGAACCTGATTTCAAAAACGTGAGAACATTACTCTGGTTTATTGAAGGACTCGGACTTCTGCTCCGAGTTTCTAAGTCAGATTTGAACCAGTAAGACTGGGACTAGAAGTCGACTCGACTACAACCATGCATCATGATCCACATAGCTTCATGCCACCGTGACGAACACTGCCCAACAACCACTAACGACATGCACGCTGCTTATTTGGGAGAAACACTGAGCGATTTTTCCCAAGAGGCACTTGAATCCATGGACCTTTAGGAAGATTACGATACTAACGGCGAGAGTTGGGGGCCGCGACAGAAGGCTCGAGCACGGCAGCTACGGTCAAATGCCAAACATCATCCTTCGTACGTCAAAGCGGTCGGCAGACAAAACTCAGGCCCTAAGTGATCAGCCCTTTCTGGCCGCCGAGACACTACTTTCAACGTGACCGTGACACTCCCACCGTGCCATGCCCGACAGACACGCTAGCCTGAGTGGACAACTCATCGATGGTCCGTTATTCTTTTTCAAAAGCAAAAAGGCAAGATAGTTGAATTTCCCCCATCATGTTTCGGCTGATTTAAGTACATTTGGTAAACATTGATTTCACTGAGTTGTCGACATCAAATGGCGTGGTTGATTTATTTGCATATATGACGCGCACTAGTCTAATGTCTCAAGAATAACATGATCGCCGAAAGGAAGTACACGAGCGCAAATGCACGACAATGCCACAACTGGCGTGCCATAAGTAATCATAGAGGGCGCCTTATCACAACGTGACCTATGCTACAAAAACCACGTCGAGGTCAGGTTCCAGGTTCGTAGTGACCGTATTAAACTGTACGTGTCGACAGGGCACATAATTAAACAAGCTCGCACAACCCATTCCAAAGTATGGAATTTTCACCTCGTGTCGAAGCGTACTCTGAAGATGCTGCCCACTTGGGGGAAATGTTGGGCTTATTCCGAACAGAATGCGTGGACTATTTGGAAGGGCGGCACAGAGTTCGAGAAGGCGGCTACGATAACGCCAAAGGTTGGGTGCGCACGCTAGATGACGGCAGGTACTGCCTGACGCAGTTCCCCCACGGCCATGCTGAGACCCTTCGTAGTCTCATGTCGCAGCAGCCAGCAGACGTGGCGCAGGCCCCCAGGGTCGGGGATCGACCTTTGCGGCCCGCCAAGGCACTCAACTTTGTCGGGTTTCTCGGAAGGCGATCCGACCAGGCTGCGCAGCTGATGGCGCAAGCAGACAAGCTGGTGGACGACCTGATGGTGCTCATGTGCGACCAGCCGGACGTGCTGCTGTATGGGACGGCGGGGTGGTCGCCTGAGGACAGCAACCACTACAACCTGGTGGTGCTTCGCAACGAGGAGGCGGGGCAGAAATGGAAGGAAGGGGAGTTGCATATGCGAGAAGCTATCAAGTAGGTAGTCGACCAACAACCCCACCCATCGAGGTTGTTTCACCATAATACGCCAACCGTGTGCGGGTTTTAGGAGCATTATAGCTTGTGCCAGGGATAACCATTAGCCCTAAAACAGCTTTCTCTACTTATGGGGATTTCTGTTGTCGCACGGTGCCTTTTCAAAAAGAGCTAATTGTTACCTAAATGCTAGCTAAACATTTAGGCCAAACTTCTGTGGTTAGAGGAACATAGATAACATGTCAGTAGCATGAATGCTGCGTCCAGCAAAACTTACGTTATCTGTTACTAGCTGGGATGCTGGGCGAAGCGCGGCACCTGCTAGATCATGGGTTGAGCTGAGACGTCATTGCCAGTTAAGTAATTGTTGTTTTTTTTGGGGGGGGGGTTGTTGTTGGGTTTTTTTTTCGATGACACCACCATTTCCGGATCTGGACAATTTTCAGACCTAATATGCTCAAAGAGACCCTACTTTGCGCGGGGTGTGGCCCAGTGAAGTGTAGTAGGCCTATGACACCAACTCATGCATAATTCTTTTGGGAATATTTCAGCTGAGCCAGGCCACTCTCAAGATTAAGAGGGGTAAATTCTGCTGGGTGCCCTGTTCTGCTTAGGGTTCTTAGGATAGGAACGCTCGACATATTTTTGCACGTCCCCCCTTTCAACGGTAAAAGCAAGACTTAGTCCAGTGCAAAGAAGTCCATTCCAGTGTAATTGTATTGACATAAGATTAGAAATATTTCGTCTGCATCATAAAAATACAGACGTTTTATTTCTACTGGCACAATTAAGTGGCAAAGATGTGAAAATCAGTTTAAAATTAATGTCTGGTTAATAAGGCATGACGTACCCATTGAACCCAACTCAATGGTTGACATAAAAGTCCCAGCAATGTACTTCTCAACGGGAACTTAATATGACTGTAAAGAAGCCAAGTTAATTTGCTATCAAAGTATCAGTGCTAGCTGACGGCCGCCTCCTCCACTCCGAAATGTCTCTCCGAGTTAGGCCACTGAAAATAAGGGCAGGGGGGATTCGAAGAAACCCTGTATTTTGTTCTTGAACTGTACAGGTGTACAGGCAAAAATAGTCGGACGGTTGCAATATTAATCACATCTGGTTCAAAATGATAGGGTAGCAATTCATTTAAAGCAACTGGGATAGGAACCAAAATGGAAGAAGTATGCAGAAAGAGAAGTGGATTTTTCCCAGATATGCACAAAAAAATTAATTTTGACTCGCCAAAGATAAAGAAAGTCAAACTCTGCTTACAAAAAAACACAAAAATGAAAAATGAACCAAAGGACATAAATTAAGAGAGTCAAAAAAATTCAGGGCGGGAAATGTCACCCCCCCAAAAACCCACAAGAACAAAAGAAAGAAAAAATCCTAAAAAACATTTAAAAACCAACACAGTGCCAATACTTCAGCAGATTACTCAAAAGAGCGCTTTTAGCGGCAGAGACCACGATGCAGTGTCTAAAGAATTAACAAAACAGAATATTAAGAATTTTACTGAGGATACCAGAAAAATCAAAATACACTTCAGCCAACCAAACTAAAGGAACCACTTTGGATAAATAAGGGTGCCAAAGAAAGATTACTAAAACTAAAGCTACACTGTTTAAAAAAGTGCTGAAGTTCATGTAACAAGATAAACAACCCAAATTTCAGCCACCTGTGCTGTAGGTGCATACATTTACTGAACCCAAACTGTCCTAGTTAATACCTAATGAACAATGTCTGATTGTCTGCAGGGTCACACTGTGAATAGTGGCAGGACTGAACTATCAAAGCAGCGTCAGAGTAGACATAGTCAAGGTACAAAGATTAGTTGTGCAACTTCGATTTCCATTAACAAGGTATATTTACCACCGAAACCAACAAGAATACGGACCAAATACCACTTTTGACAATCTGTGTTCATTGTCCTCCATTGTACATGTGTCCTTGCTCTATGGTACATGTAAAGCTATGGTTCAGCTGGTACCGATTTTGTGTCCAACTGTAGGAATAATCATCATTTGGGTTGTGGAGTTCCTTGCCAAGCAAGGCGCCGCAGGTCAGGGTTTGATACATTTAGCTCGAGGGCCAATTTTCCGTTGAACAGGCAAAACTTTCATTTCAAGTCGTATTGACGTGTCCTTCAACGGTTCCTGTGACTAAGTAACCGCACTGGAGGGTAATGAAACAACATGGAAAGGCAGATCGAAGTGAGAGATGTGCATGACGCGGATGATGATTAATCGTTAATGACGACACAACGCGTACATGCAAGATTGGCAGAAATTGCTGCAAATTGGTCGCCTTTGAAAGGCTAATAGAAGATGAAAATTATTCATGAAAAGCACGCGCAGTAGGACCTGTCGGTATGTTTCGTG